GAAAATGATAGCTGACCTTTTTTCGGTACTCAAAACGACATTTTCAACAGTCCGAAAACAACAGACATTAAATTTCTCATATCACGAAAGTTCGAGGTGTCAATTCTCTCAAGAAAATCAGAGGGGATTAAAGGCCTTCCGAACAGATAATTTACCGAACCGATCCGTTGGGTGCCCCTGATGAGAGGTTTTGCAGTTACAGTGGAATCCCGATTTTTCGAACCTCCGAGGGAAACAAAAATTGGTTCGAAAAATCGGGGCTTAAATTACAGCGTTTGACTGAGGAGGAGAAACGACATTTGGTTCGAGTTATCCTGAGGTTCTAAATACTGAGGGTTCGAAAAATCGGCATTCCACTGTCTTACTCAACCTATCAACTCTTACTGTAAGTAGCGGAGTTCGCCAATGAAATCTGATCCAAACTATGAACTGTTGAGACAGGGTCACAAGCATGATCGAGAGGTACTGCTCAATAGCTTTTGTCACATTTAATACGTAAAACTGGCACCCTTAAAATAAAGCGTACTAAATTCACAACAATCTGTGCAAGAAACAGCATTCGTTTAAAATCTTCGATCACATAATAAGCCTTAGCTTTCAACTAGATAGCTTGGCCATACACATCAAGATTCGTACATCGTGACAACGTAAATGCTTATCGAAAACAAATTAGTTCTTCCACAACCTCGAACTAATTATCTTAAGGTGGCCGAACACAGTTTTCGCTCGCGCTTTTGGTGACGCAATTCAGCGCGGGGACAAGGATTGCAGAAAACAAACATGCCGTCAATAGAGCGATCATTTTATTTACTCAGCATCCGCAGTATCTGTGCTATTTTTCTCTATAACTGAACGCAGTGTACTGATGGCTTTAGTCTTTTATCACAAATATATGTTGGAAAAGGAAAAGATGCAAAGAACTCGGCAATTCTCAGCTTTTTCTTTGTTACCGAAAGAACCTAGTTAAATGCAGCGCATGCGTAGTAAGTCAAAAAATTGCGATTGAATGAAAATTTGCAATCTCAGAAATACGCCTTTTTCTCGAGAGCCACTCATTAGAATTTCACGAAATTTTGCACGAAAATACTTTAGGAAATAAGTAACTGGAGTATTGAAAATAATTGAACTTTAACAAAGGAAACTGTAAAAAGTAGTTCTGTTTAAACCTGGAAAAGCGGCCAATTTCTGGTATGGTCGTTCAACGATTTCAAGTGAATGTTTCGAGACTGTGACTCGTCAAGTTCCTGTCTGCGGTTTCGTGTTGCGTGCCTGCAGTATCTTGGTCTACGAAACGTGATCCTCCAATAAGAGACGTGCGCAGCTAAAACACATTCTATCGAAGCCAGTTGCTGTCTTAACGTGTCATTTTGCACGAAGAGGACCGAGTAAGCGAGCGAGTGACTGACTATGCTCAGTCTTTTAGTCTTGAACGCGGTAAGAGTCCCGTAACAGTGCGACTCGCCAGATGAAAGTTGTAGATGAGCATGTTCTTGCATTATGCCTCTGTATGTACATAACCTAAGAGTGCTAAGAGCGTGACAACAACAAAGTACTGAGAAGTACTTTACTGTTGATATATTATGCTGTACAAGGTGGTTCGCACTTTTAAGTCTGTGGACAAGACGTTAGTATGTGACCATTCAAATAAGAGCTATTGAGCAGTACTTTCATTTGGCACTGTTCTTATGCTGTACAAGGTGGTTCCTACTTTTAAGTCTGTGCATGGAACTCTAGTGTGTGACCATTCAATAAAAATCTGTTCATGCGGTACTGTTCTTATGCTGAACAAGGCGGTTCTAACATTTAAGTCTGTGGATGTCGGAAACTCTAGTGTGTTACCATTCAAATGAAAGCTATTGAGCAGTACTTTCATGTGGCACTGTTCTCATACTGTACAATCTGGTTCTAATTTTTAAGTCTGTAGATGAAACCCTAGTGTGTGACCATTCAAATGAAAGCTATTGAGCAGTACTTTCATGTGGTACTGTTTATTATGCTGTACAAGGTGGTTCTAACTTTTAAGTCTGTGGATGAAACCCTAGTGTGTGACCATTCAAATGAAAGCTATTGAGGAGTTCTTTCATGTGGTACTGTTCTTATGTTCAACAAGGTGGTTCTAACATTTAAGTCTGTGGATGAAGCCCTAGTGTGTGACCATCCAAATGAAAGCTATTGAGTAGGACTTTCGTGTGGTACTGTTTATTATGCTGTACAACGTGGTTCTAACATTTAAGTCCGTGGATGAAGTCCTAGTGTGAGGCCTTTCAATCAAAACTGCTAATGAGCAGTACTGTGATACTGTGAACTAGTCTTTTTACTTGTTTCGGGTGAAAACCTAGTGTGTGATTATTCAAATCAAAAAAACATAGTAATACTTTCATGTGGTGATCTTTCTTATGCTGAACGAGTTGTTAACTTTGTGTGATCATTCAGTGAAAACTTTTGAACAGTAGTTGATAGAGCAATGTTTTCGTATACCAAGCTGGGAATCAGTCTAACTTTTCAAAATGTGTATATCATTCTAAACTCGGTTACAAATTAGTTTCGCTAAACAAACGAGCGAGTGAGTTTCAATGAAAATACCACTAACTGTGTTTAGGATAACTCTGTTTACTTCATTTCAGTCGGCTATGTACAAAGGGATTACTTGTTATATTAGTCTGAAAATGAATGAAAACAAAAAAAATTGTGCAACTTTCTTTTCAAACGAAAAGAAGTGGTCAGTCCTAAATTCAATATCATCCTCATCTGCCAAACTTAAAATATTTCAACTTATACGTTTAAATACACACATGTCTTCCAAATTCTTAGATAGATTCCGTTTCGCGTTTTCTCTTTGCAAGTAAGACAGAGCTTTGAATTATTGAATAGTTTCTGCAGAAATGAAGAATTTTCTATTTAAAATTAAAAACGAGAACGCGCTAGGAACCTAAACGTAATTTTTCCAATTAGTTGTACCTCATCTTTCACTCTCGCAGCTGGATTCGAGGCGAGTACAGAGAAGTATCACAACATTTGATAACCTTTTTGGCAAAGGTTCTAGGGGTTTAAGTGGTAATTTTCCTTGAAGCTACGAAATAATTAAGGTCAAGGGACAACATCCTATGCCTTAGAATCTCAGGAATATTTGGATTTTGTCCTTCAACAAGATCAAAGGAGGCTGCAAATGATTAAAACTATTTTAATAAAGTTTGCCTCTGCAAACACTTAGACGTCAATTCAGTCGGTCGGTCTCCAGCTGCTCACACCGAAATTAAATGTTGTTATCTCCTTGTTTGATGTGCCCGGCCATTACTACGGGATTTCCGGAACCAAATCGTACAATTACGTTCTTATGTTAAGCTTTTTGATCTTTTATGCCGTGTAATCGCTTAAGCAAACAATTGTTTTAAACTAAAACTGTGTAGAATGTTTTGATTGTAATGTGAGTTTGTGTAAAATAGTCATATGCACTGCATTTATTGGCAATATTTTAAAAGGTCACATATTTTTCCCGGACAATCCGACGCTTGGCCTGAAACCCTGCTGTTAGTTTGAATGTTTGTAATAAATGTCAGCAATTAAAAAGCCCCTTCAAACCCCATAGTGTTAATCAACTCAGAGAGGATTAAATGAAGAGTGTCTACTTCTAAAGCGATCATGATGAAACCGAGTTCTTCGCACGCTGTGCCTCACTTCCCCAGCGTCATAGGTTCGACTGGCTTAAAAACTTGGTATTTGAGGTTCTCTGATGACATTTAAGGCCATCATCTTCTAGAAAGTTGAAAATAACCTTGAATAACATTGCATGACTAGTCCGTTGTTAAAGCATTCATATCTCTCTCAGACAAACTGTTCAAGTGTTTGCAATTTAGTCTTTGTTTGCCGTGACCTCCAGCAATCTGTTTGGATTCCTTTAAAATTGATATTTGAAAACATGTATTAAATACTTTTCTCTGGGGTATCACTTGCCATAAAGGGCGATTCTTGTCTTGTCGTGAAGTTGAACATAATTGGAAAACATTCAAGTCTTTGTCAGACATTGAACTTGATTGTTTTCTAAGTGTTAGGAACCAAGCAGCGCCAAAGTCATTCACAAGTGTACACTTCTTGCTCTCGTCTGCATTCGTCGCATTTGACGGAGCAGCACCAAAGAAATCGACACTGGCAATTTTCTTTTATGATCGTTTTCCTCATTCGTGCTCCTCGGCTACAGCAGAGAAGCTGGCAACCGCCTACTCCCCTAAAAGTATCGTTGCACCTCCTGCCCACAGTTCCATGAGAACCGTAATATGGGTCTTCTTTGCAAAAGTCTGGAGACTCGGTCGTGTACACCAAATCGAGTTCTGTATGAGGTTTTATTGTTTCTCCTTCTTTGATGAGCTCATCCCCTTTGTTGCTAATTATCACTTTAATGGCACCATCGAAACGGGCTTTTAATCTATTGCCCACATCTCTAAAGTGCGGCATCTTTTCCCGACACGTTTTCAGAGAGCAAGAGCCCGAGAGACCATGGCATTTGCATTCCGTTTGCATATAATTCTTGACCGCCTGGGAAAAACAAAAGAAACCAAATAGGACGTTAAAGTTGTCGTTGACTTACTCGAGATTTATCTTGATCTTGTGAGGTTATCTCAGGCATGCTGGATTAGTTTTATCGCTGGAATTATCTCTTTCGCGAGTTACGTTTCACAGCTCTGAAGCTATCACTTTCCAATGGCGCTTTTGTCTTTACAAGTTGCGGCGCCTTTGTCCTGAATGAATTATTTGTTTCACGCTCCGGTGAGCGTTATGGATAAGCTGAAGCAGAGAGGACAAAATACGGGTTTCTTACGAAAGACGCGTAAATATTCGAGGTAGGGATTCACTCATGTCAAACTGCCAAACGTGGGAGCACTTGTCTTCCGTAGTTTTCCACTTGTAAGATAAACTGTCAGAATTGAATTAACAACTCTGTCAATAACGTTTACACTAGAAAATTAAATTCCTGTGAAGATTTAATACGATGGTGTGAAGAACCGATTATAACAAACTGAGGCATTTAGACGTCCTAGGGAAAATTTGACGTCACTTTAATGAATAGTTATGGCATCATGCAACTTTCTCTATTCCTATTTACATTAAACATCAAGTCTCAACGAAGAAAAGCTTGTTTGTTGGCGTGTTTTTGTTAATGCCGCCTGAGGTATCAAAAATTAAAGCTATACTGTTAACTCATTCTATTTATGTGTAAACAAAGGGATAAGACACTGCAAAAGGTATGCAAATATAACAAATTCGGTGATTAGGGAAGGCGTATATGTAATTTAGCTTTTCTTCGTGAGAAATTAACATTAAGATTGAACAGCTTCATGTTAATTGTTCGAACGGCGGTGTAGGTGACAAATTAAGTTTCTTCACGCTACTTGCCTTCGAGCTATGCTTTGTCCTCTGTGCTCTAAGGAGGCTTATTGGTGTTTCTGTGAAACATCTAAAAGTCATTAGCGACCGAAAACAATTTGCTCCCGCCGGAAGCCCAAAGGTGGCACACTTTCGCATGCAAACGTCAGTCTGTTTAACACCTAATGTTGTTATCAGAGCTTAAGCCTTAATCGAAATTGTACGATCATCTCGAAATAAATGATACCACCAAAGGCGAGACAAACTAAAGCGAACCCTGATACCATGATAGCAGAGATCTATTTTTAATTGTTCTAACGTCTGGTTCACTTTCAAGTGCCATGGAATCCCAAAGAATACGTGCATGTTTTTCTGACCTCGTTAACTCTAAACAAGCTTATTACTTAGCAATAATTGAATGACAATTGCTCTCATGGACGCTCCACAAAAGCTCTGTGTTGTGGCGAATATGTGCGATGCTCCGTTGTCTGGCTGATTAATTTCGGAGTTCCACAACGACAGAGCCACAGTAAGGACCGAAACGCAAGGAGCGGCAGCGCGCCACGAGATGTCTGTTGTTTGTACAAGTGAGAAATGCACGGGGCTTTGGTAACTCACGACTAAGTGTGGTGTACCGCAGAAATGCTTTTACCTACCAGTCGCCCTGCCTCGCTATTGTGCTTGATGATCATGGAACGACCGTCGCTGCTCTTGTCCTCTTGCATCAACTGTTGCGACATCTTGTATCCATACTGGATATTGTCACTGCAGCCTCCCCACTCGAACTGGTCGTTTTCACCGATGGGGAAGGCCTGGTTGGAAAGGTGGTTGTCTGTAGAAGGGTAATCGTTTCGAGGGTACGATGAAATGACGTTGCTGGTAAGGATTTGTTGTTGTGTTGGAGTTACTTGGCGACATCCACATTGCTGAAGATGACCCATTCTGCATGCACGCGTGACAGAAAAAGTTATCCCGGCTGATGTAATGGCATATATGAATGCCGTCTCCCTATAGTCTGAAAAAATATATACAAGCTAAGTTGAAGGTGTTAAAACTTCACAACTTCTTAGTCATTGCGGTCGATAAGGTGCATTTCGTTGTGCGATCATGCAACAAGCGCAGTTCTTGAAATTCCCTTTCAGAGTATGTAAAGTGTGACTAGATTAACAAATGTGGTTGGCGTTCACTATTACTTACCGTAACGAAGAATTTTTTTGACTGAGTTCTTGGACGTCGAACAATTCCATCGCCTGTTTCTAAACTGCCACTGACACTGGTCGACGGAAACATCGATTCCATCAAGCACCGTAGAAATCAGTTCCGGCTTGGATTTGCAAAAGTCATCTTTTGTGTGAAAGAATGACTCCGTTTTCTTACACACGGCATTTGGGTCTCGTTGCAGTGACGTCTCGAGTGACCTGCATTGACGATTAAAAGTACTATGTTTTAGTAATCTACTAAGCTAAGTAATATAGGGATTATTTAACCGCGGATTCCTAGTATGTCATGGCTTAAAAGACTTTGCACAGTACTCACCACCAAAATGCAATAACTTCGCTTGAATAAATAACAAATAAAAATACACTCGGTAAACGAAGCTTCATGGCTCACTCAATAGACACACTTATCAATGAAAGAGAAGAATAGCGAATAAGTACTGCGCACCGATTTAATGTGTTTTATAAACAGATGAAGATGTACTCGACTCTGATTGGCTCGCCAAAGCACATGTCAATCTACCAATTTAAAACTCAAATACTCATTTAAAAGTCATTCCAGCTATCTCGAAGACATTTTAACACAGAAGTGGAAAGAAACAATGTTAGGTCTTTCATCGGATCGTGTTGACTGGCGTCAATGTTAAGTCTTTTGTCATTTTCGTTTTAATAAAAAGCATACTACGCATCGGAGACAAATACATCCTGCATCCGAGACAAGATAAACTTAATCAATGAATCAAATAACTTCTTGTGTCCCATTTCTAAACCACAATCCTCACTTTTGTCTAGTTTCTCTTTGAAAAGTATTGACATAAAAACAGACAGGTTTCTTTATGAGTGTAATCTTATCTGCAGCAATGCTACTGAGTCAATTTGTTCTCTTAATTGCTTCGTTCAGTTGTCAACAACAACTTTGAGGAGGCAAGTCGTGGCTGACCTCAGTCCAAAGATTATTTTGATTGTATTTTACAAGTCCAAGCGTTAAGTTTCTTTTTTGCAACCGATAGATTTCAGCTGAGGATGTAGGTCTCTGCAGCTGTTTGTTCAGGCCAAAAATAACTTCTGGCATTCATATTTTATCAACTGCATTTGCTTTAAGTGCCAATGTTTAGTTTCTAGTAGTTAAGCAAAAAAACCCAACTTAATTTTAAAGCTGAGAGTATGCCTAAAAATAAAGTTTGCAGTCATAACAATGCTTGTTAGACAAACTGTTTACTTAACAGCTAATTACATTCATCTTATTTCAAACGATTCAAAGGAAAGGTTTTACTTGAAGAATGTAAATAAGTTAATGCACGGAGTTCCCGGTATTTAAGTAAGCAAGCATTTACCGGAATCTTGGCTTCCGTGTTCAGGAAATTTCTAGATGGCTCAGTAAAACCACAAAGTATTTACGTAGCCTTCGCTGGCTGATGGCTGATTGCTAACCGAAGGTGCACAGAGCAAATCTAAAAATAACAGTGGATTCTTCAAAGTTCTTCAGATACAGGTCTATACATCTATTAATGAATGATACCACGCGAATTTAGGGTATTTTGTCTCTGGATAGCTCAAAAGGTCACCAGAGTGACGAATACGAGATAACAGGAAAAATAACATTGAGGAGATTGCGTTGAATTTACTTTAGAGCCTTGATTGTATCTAATTTCTTGATAACAGGGTTTCCATATTTTTGCTGCTGTTGAAAGTGTTTTGAAAACATCGCTGTGCCAGTTCGATTACTTCGTGGAGTATTGTGTTAAGACTCTTGGTTTTATCGTCCAATCGCAGTAAATACATGGTTATTTTTTTGTTATGCAGAACCATGTCTCCGACACTACTTTAATATTCGCCCATTTTAATTATACTTCGTCACTGTTATTATTATCTCCCCAAAAACTGAGCTAGATAAACAAGTCAAGCGGACCATTTTTGAAATGAAGAGTGCAGTCTTTCGATGTAAAAGCCTCCTTTCCTTAGGTTACCGACACGACCGAAGCTGTTTCTTCCGTTAACTAGCTGGGAAGGTTCGATCAGAAACTCCCTAGTTCATCTGCTTAAAGGATAAACACGTTCACATTCTAGTCACGCACGAACCGTGGTCAAAGTTCTCGGCAGACCAAAGGTCTTCTTTAAAGTGTTTGTTTATATTGAAGAAATCTACGAAAATGATTTTGTTCTCAATTCGTCGTCAAGTATCGAAGGAAGAGCATTCAAAAAATCTTAGTCACAAGCTACATTAGGTCTTCAATATCACAACAATTTAATTAGTAATCAGGATATTCACTAATTCAGCGAGTCTTTGTTCATTGTTGACATGACGATGCAGTGAGCCAAAAAAGAATTTGAAACCACGTAAGGAATGACTTGTGTTAGTTCTTAACCTAACGTCACCATGAACAAACAGGCGTTTTAAGTGTTTTTAACCAAAATGTCACGATGCACGTCAGCTCCAACTCGTGGAGCAAGCGCCTTTGTATTTATCAGTTGAAAAGTGGTGACTGATAATAGTTGCTTCTCTTGCTATCTTTACTCTCTTACTAGCCTAACTGTGTCCAAGTGGAGAGCTTTCCATTGAGTGGACTTTCCATTGAATGGACTGGCGATAACAAAAAGCCAATCATACGAGATGAATGGCTAAATATTTTAATCCACATAGTGACGACAAGACGTAATTTAGGCAAATGCCTAGCAATCACTTCTGTCAATAAACATCTTGAAGTCTTGGAATTCAATGACGACCGACATTCCTCGTTAACTGGTTTAACTTAATTTTAAGTTTTATCTTTTCGGAACTTGGACTCGTGACAATCTGCAGCAAATAAGACGGAACCGAACAGGAATCAGCTCAAACTAAGCAGGCAAAGCACCGCACGAAGATTCACATTTTTTTCTTTGATTAACAAATAAGGTAGCTTGGCTCCAAAAGAACAGGTCCACCGAGCAGATGGCTTACCTTGGGTACATTCGCTCGCCGGATGCTCCTTCACCTACTCGTGGCTCCTCGAGTGCCAACAGCTATCAGTTCTTGCAGATTTGTCTTGTAAGGGTCTTTAATGAATTCCGGATGTACGACTCTTTAAAAGCCACTTTTCAGATAAAGAGTAACTGTTAGATAATTGTACCTCTTTTTCAAGGACAGTTTTTTTTTTCTCTTCTCCCTGCTTGAACCTTTTATTCCCAGGAATGATAAGTTATTATATTTCTCCTTACATTGAAATAATGAACTTGGGGACATTGACACGTTGTTTGGACTCTGTAATGCAGGTAACAAATACGTGACCATTTTTACTTCAGACAAATCAATGAGGAGGGGGATACATGTCCCGTTGATCTCTGAAAAATGTCCCATTTTCCCCCCTGCTCCAAGACCATTATTCCCTTAAAGGTTTTGTCAAAAATCCTGTTAATAGTAGAGATATCCCTTATTCCCTCAAAATTTTTCCAATAAATCCATTATCCCCTTGAATTAAAAGGTTATGTTCTTTTCATTCCCCAAAACCCCTGAGATGGCCTCATTTATATTGCAAGTTCGAGGATGTAACGACGAATCTACTTTGTGTCCGGTTACACTGTAAAATGAAATGAACGGAAAGATCACCGTATTAAGGTATTGATATTGCCTATCCTGCCACTGCGGCTGGTCGATATCCATATACATAAGCTTCTTCGTTCTAAGTTAGCACGTAAGGTCGACATTCATAAGTGCTTAAGACTCAATTGTATCCGCCCACGAGAAACTCCGCAGGAGGTGTGTTATGGTTATGTACAACACCTTGGCCGTGTTATGTTCAAACTTTTCTATTCATTCATTCATTTATTTATTTATTAGATTACAAAGATGAAGATGATAGACGGGTATTTAAAGATTGAAACTAAAGCGGGATGGGTAAAACACATTTTAAAATGTCTCAGACAATGTTTACCACAGGAACAAACAGACATTGTCTCCAATTAAAATGGAAACGGTCTCAATACAAAATATTTGGGTATTTAAGTTAATTGCTTTCGCTAAAAGCCTACGAAATGACGTAGAATCAGTCTGATATTGACTGAAATACAATGTGAGGTCAAGATAAATAAACCCAAGGTGTTTGGGCATTTCCGTAGCCTATTGATATCGTGGGCGTGTTTTCACAGACAAAAACAGTGTTTAACGTTATTGATGTCGTAAAAGGAATCCGACGACGTGGACGAATTGTCAAGGAATGACATCTGTGACAACCCTGTGTGCTTGAGCGTATAATTTAATTGCTATCGTTTAAAAGGATGTGCTAAGCAGTATAACTAGCAACTTCAGTTTGACGTCAAGTTGTTTTCATTTTGACGTCTGTTGTTCGTTTCCAGAGTAGTGGGGATGAAAAGGTGGAGCTCCTGTCACTGTTTAATGATAAATGCAAGGGCTTGTTTGATACATGAACTTCCTTCTTCAAATAACATCAAATTCCTGGTTGGTAAATTAACCTACATAATAAAAAGGATTCAAAATTACTTTTAGGAGAGGCAGGGCGAGCTTTGTCTGAGGATATTAATGCATTTTTCTACTTCAGATCGCGAAACATATGCCCAAGTAAGATTACATTTGTTAGGAAACGATTTACATGTTGCCATTGAGCTTATTTTAAAAGTACTGTTCATCTATTGTCCGTTGTCAGAGCCTTAATATACAACTAAATAACTCTTTGTCAAATACGGTTTCTTATTTTCTGACAAAAATGCTTCCCCTTAAATTTTGCTCACATACAGTGAGGAGTGAAAAATTTGCAATCTCCCTTAAGCAACCTTCTGGCTTAAATTAGTGAAACTCAACCTTTCTTCCTGCAAGATTATTTCTGGAGACTACTGGTTTATTCTAGTTTTATGTATTGGACTGGATTTTGTACTTTCACTGTTATGTGTGCCATAATTATGAGACAATGTTATAGTTCACCTAATTTGTCATGAGTATAGTTTTGCCTCCTGCTCCTCCAGAGGTTTGCAAGCTGAATAATGTAAGCATTGGATAGTTCACGAGAACGAACTGAAGGGACCTGTATAAGAACTGGTCTATAAAGACTAAGATCAAAACATTTGCGTGTACAAGTTGTGGGAGACACTGAGTTTAGGACTACAACTTGCCTCAAAGAGCATCTACTTTTATTTGTCATAGAAAAATATTATATATTTTTCAATTTCACGAAAGTAGCACTTACGCACACTTTTATCTTAACATCATTGTAGATGTGACTTTAGGCAGGGTTTACAAATGGTCTTCCGTATGGAATGTAAACGACAGCTTTAATTTGTGTATGAACCTAACATTTGAAGGACAAGAGTACAGCAAGATATGTGAATTAATTGTTGAAGTTAAGTTAACTCACAAACTGTTGAAGATAATATGATGCATGGATGAAGTGAATATCAGGGTAACACTTGACTAGTATTTAATGGCAAACTACTGTTCCTGCACCAGAGACGCTTAACGGTTCAAGAGTATCGCATATCAGCTTTGTTTTTTAGCGTGAAGCATCGCTACTCCCTCAGCTCTTGAGGGATGAGTTGCTGGTTTATTATAGGTTACTTCTCGACAATTAAGCAGGCTTTCAGTCAAAAATTCAACGGCACCATTCTCTGGGTGGCGATAGGCAGTGAGATTAAAGAGTCTCTGCTCAAGAACTCAACACAAAGGTAATGATTGGCAATTATCAAACGCTTCGTCTCCACAAATCAAAGAAATAACTACCAAACTATTTGTGGTAATCGTACAGCTTTCAATATTTTTTGGAAAACACACCATATAATTTATAAAAGTATACATACTTGCAAAACTAACTAGTCTGCCTTTGTTGTATCTCTACCATCACTTTGAAGATGTTGTCAAATGTCTGCTCCATTTGCTGAAGAATAAGTCACTGGGATTGTCAGTATTCTGTGCATTCTCCCTCAAGCTCCATTGTCATATGTTTGCATACACTGCAACTTTAGAGTTTCTCTGTATTTTAACTTGTCTTACCAATTTGTTGTTGTTTGATCTAACTTACTTACATACGGCTTTGATTTCTTTGATTACAGTGGCTCTCCCTCTGTCAGGGACAGTCTTGCCCACCTCTGGACACAGAGCCGTGTAAATAAGCCTTTTAGTCGCTTATTTTTATACGCTCCATGAATCAATCTGGTCCATGTAGAACCAAAATGACACAGAGCTTTTAGCAGGGAACAACTTTGTTTGGATCGACCCAACGTGCTACTAAGAATATCGCTAAACATTTGTGCTTCGTGATCTTATGACCGAGTACATTCTAGTCGTAATATTCAATTCATGTGGAGTCTCGCCATATAAATTATTCCAAGTGAAACTTTGCGACACAAACAAGTAATTCAAGGCAAAGGTAATGATCAAAACAATAGAGGCTATTCAAATTTGAAGGAGGACAATGAATCTTTACGAGTGGATTCTCCTCAAGGAGCGTTTAGGTATTGATCATCCAGAAGGAGAAACTCATTTGGTGTTAGTGACACAGAAAACAGCAACCCCCAAAAAAATGGCTGCACTTTTAGAAATTCTAACTACCCAAGCAGAGAGGTTTATTGTATTTTCCCGTCTTAACAGCTATCTGAATACCGATCGTGATCGGGCGACCCATAATTTTTATTATTAATAATTATTTCAACCGAAACCCAACAAATACTGTGTCCCGTTAGAAATACCCTTGTGAAGCTTAGTATAGCTGAATTTATATGACGTAACAAAATATACCCTTAAAAAAGGTCATGCAAGAATTGCTTGTTATGAAGGGACTATACATGCAAAGAAAAAATATTGTCACTGAATTTAACGCAGACGGGACTGACAGATATAAATCATCGATCAAAACAGCCTGGCTTGAATTGGGATTCCAAGCCCAGTTTAAATTTTCAAAACCTTATGGTTTATAAACGTTTTTAAAAAGTTGCATTTTCTTTTGTTTTATTGATGTCAAAACGTTCTCGTAGTCATTTTTGCTGCAAGTGTTAGTTAAGTAAAATACACTAAAAAGGGAGAAAATGCAGCCCCTTAATGTTCGTGTTTGCATTCTTTCCACCTGGCTGACTTCGTCTGGACCATTCTAATGCATGGGTTTGACTTAAGTACTAAAAATAGATACAACATTTTAGTTTCAATCTTAAAATAACCTTCTAGTTCAATATCATGCATACTTGTCTAAGGGACTTCAAATCTCAGTGAACACGTTGGAAGACCACGTTTTATATCCAACACGTGTGATGGCACACGGAACGTGTGATGGCACACGGAACAGTTCATTACGGTGACCGCCTTTGATTGATTGACCTAGTTAGCGACTCGTGCTGAATACCAGGTCTTGAAATTCTAAAGTAAAAAAGGTGTAGTGTGCTAGGTCCATGTTTGAAACTCATTATTCCAAGAAATTGTTAAATCCATCCTCATGATTCGGGCCATTGGGACTTTGAGGGGAACTCAACAAAATCATCGAATTAAGTTAAACTTCTAGTTTGTTTATTTGTTTGTTCGTTTCTTTGTTTGTATGCTTGTATAAATAAAAAATGAGTGCTCTTGGCTGGTTTTCATGTGTATTTCAATTGAGCATCAATGCTTCGTGACCGAGACAGGTTCTTATACTGCTTACAGCCTTATGTGTATTTATAATCCCGCTTTGATGAATGTTATGTAACAGTTGAAGTTCCTCTTTGATGAATATCTTTTAACTTCGGATTGCTCAGTTTTGCTGCCAAAAACAACACTTTAATTCTTTACCACGGAGAAAGAGCATAGACGAACATCGATCTCAGTCAGCATTTATCTAAGCCAAACTTTTAAATAGTGTTCATCTCTCTTAATAAACCCATTTTAATACAGCGGACGACCGAAGGGGAGTGTATATTGAGATGTGTATATTAGACGTGATGTCTTGTTCTTCTCGATATTCTAACACATTCTAGCCTCCCTAGTAGTCCACTCATGCCTCCTCTAGTAATTTCTCTGTTATGGTGAATCTCGATTAGCCACACACTGGTACACAGGGTCAGATTTTGTCGCGGGACTTAGGCATAGCTCAGAGGGGCCTCTGTTGTTGGCAAATCAAATAATCACTGAAACTTCTCTTTCGTTGCTTTGCCAAGATCCCAGCATTTTACCACGTAGTCATACGTTCTTGGAATAACGTATTTACTTCAAAGAAAAATATAATCTGATGACAGGAATGAAGAGGGGAGAACAAAAACCATTTTCAATTATGGGTATTATTATTCTAAAGCTTGCCAATGCTGAATATTTTAGCAAACCAGCTGTGTCTATTTGTGCACCAGCCGGATCGATTACATAACACAGCTTCACAACACTAGATATCGTTTGTTTCGGTGAGCCCAAGGAGTGGTTATCCACGACAACGTCGTGTCAGAAAATTATTCTGCAACTTCTAAAGTTATTCTAGCTCAGAACACGATAAAGAACATTTCCAAGGGTAAATCATTCAAATATAATCAGAGATGAAAGACTGCTGAAAAATGGGGAAAATCTCTATTAAGTCGTGAAATCTTATCTAAAATCTTTCACTGGATGACATTTTTCACAACTTGGAAGTGAACAAACCATAGCATCCTCGGTAGTCAGTCAAGTTACCTTTTAATTCTGAATTGTAGCTCAATTCAATAAACTGATAATTCTTAATCAAACCTTGCGAACTCTAACCGATTCCCTCTTGCTCCGGTTTCCACTAGTGTCTCGGTCCACTCCAATGTCTCAGTTTGATTTCATAGTTTTTCATTTTTTCTTGATGATGGAACAGTAACTAGAACGCCAAAGACGAGATATGTCGTAGCAGATACAGCCCTTTTAATGGGTCACACTCTAAATAGTTCTTGTTCCATTATAAAATCTGAAACATTCAATCATGTGGAAATGTCGCCCATCAAAACTTTATGATTTGAAAAGGCCATAATTTCTTTAATAGTTTGACTTCTCTCCCGAGTTTTCTTTATGAGCAAATAGACAGCGAGGCGCCGTTACGTTAGTGATAGGTCATTAAACACTCTTTAGACACTCTAAATGTTTGCGGTCTAAAAGTTACAATGTTAGTGCCATGTTATGTAACTTTGAACCAAAACTTAAGTCGGCTTTTTCCTTTTTTAAGAGCAACACGTGAACGATTGTGTTCTAAAAGTCGGGGTACAAATTGGGTCTACGGATTTCCAACAGAACAATCTAAATGTTTATTTAGAACAATTCTCAGTAGAACTTCGTGCAACCTGAAGAAATTAAAGTTAGCCATATTTCGCCAGTCAGAGTCAAATCAGCTCAAAACCGGTCTTAAGTCCACGGATTTTAAAATATTTCATGCAAAAAGAAAGTTCGAGAACATGCTTAAAAGATGAATAATTCCGAAAAATCCGCTTTCTCAATAGTCAGTTTAATTGCCTGTCTGATTTTAGGGTATAACTATCTAGCGCAGAACTGCTTTGTCGAATTAAACACCAGACCAGGTATTTTACATACTTAGTGTCTGTAAGGGCCAAGGGTGAAATTCGTTCCGCCTGCCTAGTGTTTTAATAACACCGGCGACGGCACACAAAGCTTGGTTTGTAAAAATAGCTTTGTCAGCGACTTTCCGACATTCAAACATTGAGGTTCAATTAAACAGATTACTTCAGTTAACACTTTTTTGGATAATAAATTTTAGAAATTACTTGCCGCAATGCTTTATTTCAAATTTAGACGGCTATTCATAGCTTCTTAAAAGCTCTTGAAACCACAACGAGTAGGCGGACCTATATTAAACAATATACAAAATACTTTTAACTTAACTTGCTTTTAGCCAAATTAGAAGAGTCCTTCAGGTCTTTTTTAAGCCAAACAATAGCAAAACTTACTCTGATTCCTTATCAATGTGACAAGATTTTAATCTTCCTAAATGGAGTTTCAAGGAAGGAATAACAGCTTATATGTTTGCTGTTTTAAAACATTGCCTTCCTTTCGGACGAAAAGGCGGCTATATCTATTAGATGGAAGTTGTACTTTGAAAATAAAAATATGTAAACAATGTCTGCTTTCGTAGAAATGCTTTTTAGCGACCCTGAGTGTTAGTAACATAAATAATCTATCAGACCTATTTTTGATTTACATGCACTATTACCGCCGACATCTTCACCAGACTAGGAAAAGTCGAAAGACATCATATAAATGATTAATAAGTCAGAACAAAGTTATTATATAACAGGTCTAATTATGACATAATAGGTCTAAGCGGCCTAAAAAATACGCCTATGATGGACTATTTTCAGGTTGAAATATTCTATTTACTGAAAACAGTTGGCAGGATCAACTTTTTTTGTCAACATCGGAAAAGTTAGTTGCAAATGTTTTAGATTTAGCTCGTTGTGTAGATTACTTTTAAGAAAAAACTCATTCGTGATGCCATCCTCAATGCTTTCAAGCACTCGAGATCATTGTTGTTAATATGTCTATAGTTTTGAATATTGTCTAAGTAATGGATCAATTATGAAACTATCCTACTTAGTAGTTTTGGCACGTACGCTCAATTAAAATGCAAAAAAACATTACACCTTCATTTCAATCTCTGTTAATGGAGATTTCAGGCGCAACAGTCTAAGAAAAAGATGCTTATTAATTGATTTGTGTTTAAAACAATCTTGAACTTTTGGGAGTAAGGCCAATGATGCAGCGAGTGAATAGCAAACTGTGCACCCAGTCTCAAATTGCTCGCCGTCGTTATTATCACGTAAAAGAACAGTTTTAAACTACTATACCTCGACGATAGGGCTATATTGTTCACAAATTGTAAATTACAGGGACATAATACTATCAACACATAAACATGGAGCTTGACAGACCAGGGTGGCTTTTTCCAGACAAATATTTTAAATTTTTTGAGTCGCAATTTTAAATTAGAAACATCTAGACTTCCAAGAATAGCATATTATTTCATTTTCTTTTCAACTGCTGCCATCAGCGTTTTCAGTTGGGGGAACTTGACCAGATTAGAGAAAAAAATTGCAGTCATGAATAGAATGGGTCCACAGAACATGAATTATAGTAACAGTAATTTTTATTGATATATAATAAGTTTACAAGCTTTAGCAGCTCGCAGCTAGCAAAGTTATTCTGGGTGAGCTACTATTACTTTAACAGTATTATCTAGTTTAATTAAAAGAGAAAATAAGAGAAAAAAAGAAATAAAAGAAATCTGAGTAAATAACCAAAATTAAATCAAAATATTGCACAAAACATATTATAAAAAAAAGTAGCGAAACATGATTGGCATGATACAGTAGAACGAGTTAACAATAATAATCGAAAAAAAAATGGAAAAAGAGGACCTTGTGCTGTAATACCGTGCCTTAAAACAGTTATTGCCGTTTCTAATGAGTACACAGTGTATATTCCAGGTAAATAAAGATATAGGATTATGGCTCAGCGTTATATTTCGTAGATAAAATCTAACTATACCTAGAAGAGACGTAAGAAACACTAATAATGTATGCCCAGCAAAACCGTTAAAACACAATTTATATCCTTGAAAAATATAACAGGCTCGCTGGCCGGTATAATGGCCTATAGAATGCATAGATTGCGTGGTTCTCTAAATAGGAAAATGTTCCTTTTAATCAGCACAGATACCCGACATTGCTTTATTAGTTTACGATTTTCTGTGCCACCATCGAGTAACTAAGTGGCCGTTTATTCACATTGTCACTAAACCCTAATGTCAGATAGTGGTAAAATAATGCATTAAAGGGATGTTTAAGAGATCATAAGTGAACTTGTTATGACCATCTTTATGACATAACAGGTTACAAAAGTAAAAATATACTCTGTCAAAAACAGGTGTAATTTTAAGTGCCTAAATAGAGGGCCACAAGTTTGAGAGCGTTTTCACTATTAAGCGCTTAAATAAAGAGATTATGACTGCATATGCTTACACGTACATGTTCGTTGTTATTTTGATTTTCTTTCTTCTTTTTTCCGATTGTGCAGGAACACACTGGAGGAAGATCCTGCACTCTATCTGTCTATTTACTCATGTGCTTTGCTTCTCTTACCTTGATTTCATCCAGTTTTAGTGCACGTATTCCTTGTACTTTGGTCCCAAAACGCTTTTCCTGACTTCCATGATGTCATCACCTCTCTTTCCTCTCTGTCGAGGAAATGGAGGAAGATCCTCTATACTCTATTAACGTGTTTTGCTTATTTTACCTTGATTTCATCCAGTTTTAGTGCATGTATTCGCTGTACTTTGGTTCCAAAACGCTTTTCCTGACGTCCGCGGTGTCAATACCTCTCTTTTCTCTCTGTTCGACATATGTTCTGTATTCCTTAAGCTCTAGCACCCACGAACGAATTATCGTTCTGCTAGCAGTGAAGGAGACAGGCCAAATTGTCACTTAGGAAAGCAGCATCAGCGATATGAACTTGCTGGGTTGACATTTGCCAAGTAACAAGCAACGAGGGGATATGATATTTATACGTCGGTTAATAAGTCACAGATACCTCTGTTGTCTGATAATGCCTGATATTTTAGCATTGTTGTTTACAGCTCGGTATGTCATAGAGACATAGCTGGCTCATCTATAATTTACGTTTAACTATAATTAAGGATGATAATGAAAACAGTTAACCCGCTTTACACTTAATTGTCTTAAAAAACATCCCCTGACATTTACGTCAGTAACTGAGCTGAAAAACAAACAAATATTGACTAATAATGGAATAGTGACGGAGGTTAAGTATAAGAACATTCAGCGCTTAGATTAATTTGCTGTGGCGCCAATTTGCATTGTTCTTTGAGTATAATCCTTTTTTTTTTCAAAATGGTTATTTATGATTTCATAATTAGTGATCTCCATCTAAGAATTTGATTGCTACAGCATACCCTGTTGAAGCTTCTGGAAGTTAAAAGCATAGCTCCGCCCCCCTTTAAGTGATGTTGATCAATATATATACTGAGGCAATAAGTTGAAGGGAGGGAAGAGTGGTTGGTATCATAACTTTGTTTTGTTTGACGTAACGAAGAGTATAAGCTGGAAACATCACGCAGATTAGATACTAGAATTAATTATAAACACGATGTTCAAAACTAGCCTTCGTAAAAGTGACTTTTCTGATTTCCAAAAGCTCTATCTATTACTTCTACTTAGCGTTCTACAGTCCACTCTCTTAGGAGAACTGATATATTTTCATTGTGTAAACCTGCTTCCACTTCTTATGGCCTTCTGTCTTTTAAGTATTTTGCATGCAAAACTTGGAACTCTCTACCTGAGAACATTAGAACGGAGCTTATTTTAAGCGATTTCGAAAGCCTCGTGAAAACATTCTCCTTTCAGGCCTGATTGTTGATAACTACAGTAGGCTTTGAAAGTAAATTTTTGTAATTTAGATAAACTTAGTAGATCTTGTTTTTAAATTTACGATGTGATTTTTCTCACAGATATTAACTTCGTAGCTACTCTGTAAATCCAAGATAAACTTAAGTCATGTATGCATATATGTACTTCGCAATTGAAGCCTTCAAGGGCAGAGTTTAGCACAATACATATATTACGATATGTAAGCTTTTTAAGTTCAAAACACTAGTTAAGTGCATCGCTATCTTCGGTTTCTTATCATGAAGCGAGTACGTGAATTTGTACTTCCCCCTCTCCTGTTGAGAAGAACCACCAGGGTGGGGAAAAGTACTGTGAGAGTGAGATGTCATGTTCAGTAACATAGTAGTGACTCCTGTCCACCCCTGCCAGGTGCTGTTTGGCTCAGACGCTAATGTCCGACGTGTTACAGTACAGAGCGAGAAGTGAATTCAGGTATGGTTAAGCTTTTACTTTAAATGTAGGTGAAGGGGGGTGTGTTTGGTCATAATTTTCAGGAGATGAGGATCGGGGTCAGAGCTTAACCTGCCTTAGTTAGTAGGGGGGCTCTACATAAAATCCGTTTGTAGTTATGACAGAATATATCTCCATGTGAGGCTCATTTTTCAGCTCCCCCCCCCCCCAACCCGCACCTATCCTGATAATTATTGCACAGATCCAGAAACATGAGAGATAGCATACTCATATTTGAAAAATAAACGTTACCATCGTTACCATAAGGGAAAGCGCGAGGTTCGTTATATAATTAGTGTATCTCTTTTTATTTGCTGTGTTTATTAACAACTATTACCGCTACTTCTGAGGGATCGTTAATTTTTTATATTCATGGCTGATTTTCACACTCTGAGTTCAGCTGCTTTGCAGCTACTTTTCGGAAATGTAAGTTTACATGTCAGCAGTCTGCACTCTGTGTCGCCACTCTCTATGTCATCGTGTAAGTTCAATTCTTTGTTTAAAATATACGACTTGATTATATCTACCGTAGGTATCATTGTTATGGTTCTATAGAACATATTACATTACATTCTGACTTATATCCGGTGACATATGACTGTCGACGAGTCCGCAGATCAGTATCGCGGACTCGTGTCATAGGTTTGAACCCTATTCTTTGAAGACTGAAATTTGTTTAGTTTTCTTGTTGCTCGGAATATTTTCTCCAGCAATAAATGCTCTGGAAGATTAAAAAGTAACAATTGAAACACAAGGAATATTTCAACTTACTTTGAAGAACAACATAAAATTATTCTACTTGCTGAACTATTTTGGGAATGAGAAAGAGATTGGACGTTAGTCAAAAGTTATGTTAATGATTTCACTGATTCTTTTATCAAGAGTGATGAACATCTTATTTCTCCTTACATGTCAATACGTCGTCAAGCACACAGGTAATGAGATTATAGAAAATCATCAACGAAAAAAGATCATCTTATCACTAAATTCTTAACCCTTATTGATAAGGACAAAATTCTCGAAATTTATATTAAACTGAGTGAGCCAGGTTCCCTGGCTGTCATGCTTGTAAAATGAAAGGCAACTTAACCTAAACTTGGAGCTTCTACAAGAAGAACTTTTACAAGAATAAAAACTCTCCCTTTAATCTTTATAACTAAAGTTTGGGAGGTGAAAAACGCGGAAAGGTTTTAGGTGTCAAATCTTCTGTTCTCTATAAGGCCTCGTGATTTGACTCGATCCTTTCAACCTGTGGTCTAAAAATGAACAATGCAAAGAGAGATAACTCAGGCTTCTTGGGACACCTCACAAGCTCAGCAACGTAGAATATGCACAGATGCATATATGATCGAGGAGGCTGTTGCAGGCGTTAAGAGTGTTCTACCAATTGTCCAGTATTTCGCATATGCATCGTGACAAGAAGTAACTCTTGACCTCTTCATCTTAAGACTACTGTTTTGATATGTCAAGGAATTCTTCCAAACAATACGGTGATAAATACAAATAGAAACCAGCACTGAGGACGAGAATTCGTGTGTAGCTGGGCATTGCGTTATCATTTGCAGATCGTTACCCACGCATTCTCCACACAATCGTCACACAAGACATAACAACACCAGTTAAAGTGGCACCGGCACCTCCTTGTGATTGTCCTGTGCACGGTGTTGTAGCCTCGTTCGCAGCAGAGAGTGTTACAGTTGTCTGATCCCAACGAATCAACCTTGCACGCTCTTTCTTTAGTTCCTGGGACGCTAAGAGTGCTGTCTTTCTCACAGTACGTCGGAGAGTCTTCAAAGTAGACCAGGTCTCTCTCAAACTCGTCGCGTTTGATTGCCTTTGTTTTTCGCTGAAGGGGTCGTAGTTTGCCGCGGTTTCGGTTGCTGACTCGAATCTGTGTGGCATAGTCATATCTCTCTTTGAGAATGGTCCCCACCTCGCTGAATTCTGCAACAGTCTTCCAGCAGGTTTTCAAACTACAAGAACCGGAGACTCCCATACATTTACACCTGGTCTTCCTACGGTCAAATACTGCCTGAAAATGAATTAATCACTCGTTTAGCCACAAAATCGAGTATAAAAGTAAACTATTTCAGTACAGCGATGTCAATTTCAATTAAAGAACCGGTCGCTCGTACCAAACACGGGATTACCGTGTTATAATTAACGATAAGATTATGAGCTCGAGATTTCTATAAAGTGATAGTTGGTGAGCCCAAAGGCCGAATCAGCTATCACCTCATAGAAATTGATTCGTTAGGAACAGCTTTCTTATGGGGTCGCCCTAGCCCAGATGGGGGGAGTCTCCCTTCCAAAACTCAAGTGGTTAGGTTTCTATTGATGATGATACTGTCTTGTAAGAGCTACAATACTCAACACCCAACCAACACCTCTTTCAAGCGGGCGAAACAAGAATTTCCAAAATGCCTCCGCTTCTACTTCTCCCACAATACTCAAATTTGGAATGCGTGCTAATCAAGTTTAACCGCGTAGAATTCATTTCATGAGATTCAAAGCGCAATTTTAATTTTACTGAATTACGAGATGAGATGGAGTGGCTGATGATGCTTTTAAGCCCGATAACGATTTTATCTAGAAATATTAGGGGATTTCAAGAAATCTGAAGAATTCTATAATCCTACTTTATCTTGTGCGTATTCGCCAAGCCATGGGTCAAAATGGATAACAAGATGTATCTTCGGTAACGAAAGTCAAATTTTTTTAGCGTGAAAACTACTGAAACTAAATGGCAGACGACTCGAGAACTAGAGGGTGTTTGAACTCGAGAGAGCCTACCCAATGAATAGGTACAACCGCCGTATTTAGCAGTTCTTTTATTTCCTTTAAATGAATTCAAGTATCAGTAGAATGCACTGAAAAATGTTAAGAGATCAAATAACATGCAGCTACTTGAGTGGAGCTTGGTGAAACACAATGCGAATGATGCAATATTCGTATCATTAAATTACGTGCGAACGATAACTTTAGCCCCTCTGGCCTTTAATCAAACGCCACTGAAACAACAACGAAATATTGACATTGCGATCACATTAGCCTTTCTAAAGGTGTGTGACTTGTCTCCTCATAAACGGTTGGAAAGGTTATAGAGGTCGGTTGAGGTGAAGGACCAAAATCGCGAAATATGTAGATAAAAAAAAAGTCCTGGAAAAGGGCAGACGTTGAACTCTCATTAGAGCATTATTTTTTTCCTGATTATCACTAGAATTATCCCAAAAGGATGTTTTCATTTCTGCTTAACACATTCATTTAGGGATATTAAGTATTTTAAGCTTCAATGTACATAGATTGGCAGTTTCTACTGCCCATATTTTTGTTTTTATGAAACTGCAAAATCCGTTTTAACTGTGCCGTCCGTATTTATCTTCTGATCGCAAAGCCGAACAGTCTCGGTCAAAAAAGAGTCTTAAGCATAAGTTCCATGCATCCTTTTGACTTAAAAAGGCTAAAAGCTAACTAATGCTAATTCGCGTTAACGAGTACTAGTCTTAAAAGGTGCTTAGCCAAGCTGCTTTAGGCGATTATTGAGCTTTTTCTGTATTTAGTACATATTTCACCCCTCGAGTGTACGTATTTACCATATGAAAGTACTGCTCAATAGCTTTCATTTGAATGGTCACACACCAGGGACTTATCCACAGACTTCAAAATGAACCACTTTATACAGCGTAATAAACAGTCATGAAACCACTGCTCAATAGCTTTCACTTGAATGGCCACGCATTAGGGTACCGACTTAAAAGTTAGAACCATCTTGCATAGCGTAATAAACAGTTCTTTATCAAAGTACGCTTCAATAACGTTTATTTGAATGGTCTCAACCAGGAGTTTTATCCACAGACTTAGAAATGCCCTTGCACAGCATAATAGATAATACGTCATAAAATTAAAGTACTGCAAAATGAGTGTCGCTCACAGAATTGGACTGAATTTATCCACAGACTTAAACGTTCAATATCCCTTATGGATCAAATGACCTAGCCAAAGAGTTAACAATCAAAAAACGTGGAATATCCATTTAGAGATAAAATCGCATCTACCTACCTACCGGCATGTGCTAAAACCCAGACGGTGGACTCTGGACGATAGACGATAGACGATGGACGATGGACGATGGACAATATCTCTGACATTCATTTATTTCTCTCAGACAAAGTATAAAATTGTCACACAATCTTTTGCTTTTGTCACGTGATGTTAAAATATTGAACAGCGAAAATTCGAGGACAAAGTTGTGATTGCGAATTGTTCGTCACGCAATTTCACGCATTCCTTCTTTTATCACGCGATGTCACCATGGAATTTTGAAATAGTGCACAGCGAAAAATCGTGCCCGCTCCGCTCCCCACCAAGAAAAAAAAACAAACTTATTTTGACTGGACAAATTTTGACCGCGGATTTTATGTCACGCAATGTCAGTTATTCATTTATTAAATTTTGACAACAAAGTATAAATTTGTCACACAATCTTTTTCTTTCGTCCCGCAATCGATTGCTTTTTCACATGAATTATTCCAGACTGCACGCAGAAATGACGCAGGAGAATCGTAGCCCATACGGCAAACACGTGATATGTTTTTGCATGAGTTGTCGTGGGGTGGGTGGGGGGGGGGGG